CAAGCTACCCTTCTTCCCAAATATTATTTCTTCAATCTTCATTTCTTGCCCAATAAAATCGCATCTGAGACTAAACCGAATCAAATTTCCCAAATCTTCTCAAACCTTTCTTCAGAAGCATTCTTTTTTGTGCGTCTTACAAAGGAAGTGGTCTCATTGTCCTCCAAAGTTCACGAGCCTTCTCCTCAGATCCAACACTCCACGGTCTCGTCTGGACTTCAGCATATGTATGCTGTCAGATTCGTTATCGCCCCATGTTTTTGGCAATTGCTTTTCATGCCTTTTTCTGGCATCTCGGACGGCAACATTGTCATCAATTTCATACGATATGTAATCTTCAATTTCACAACGTTGTCATCGATTTTACAAGATTGTCATCGATGTAGAATATTGTCATTGATTGGTGGTGTTATTTAAATGGGGTAAGGGGTTGTGCTGGAATGAGGACGTGGATATCATATGGAGAACATTGCCATCGATTTCATCAATAATATTGTTTTCACAACATTCATTATCAGCGACTTCACAAGATTGATGTATGGATGTTGTTGTTAATCAATCTTGTGAACAAACGCAGCCCAGCTCCAAAGCAAAACCACAAATAACCTCGAAAAAATCTTTCCCGTTTTCAAGACAAATACCGCGGAAGGGTGCATTTTCATGCATTAACAATCTAGTTTCGGCCTCCAGTTCTCATAAATAAAATTTGCTTCTCGCTGTGGATAACAAAGCCCTAAACAACATTATTTAGATCAGACGACTAGGAATAAGGGCCAGCATGTACAACCAAGGCCAAGCATTCCGGACACAATTCTATCCGCGTGTGAGAGCAGAGATGTTTACCTATGGCAGCTTCAAGATATGGATGACGACTCCAAATCTAGTGGGTAACCCTGCCAATGGTTTTGCAAGACTTTGTTAATAGGACATTTACAAAGTACCAGCTAGATGTCTTTAAAATTCGAAACAAATTTAAGAAGGACAATCTAAGCCAACAGAAACTAAAGGTAATTGCGGAGAAGGCAACAATTCCATTGGTGTTAATGTACGATAGTGGTCAACCAGCTACTAGAAAATATATCAAGAATCACATGTTCTCGGACCACAATGGGAATCTAAAGCTAAAAGACAGGTTTTTTGCGTACATCAACGGACTCAATTCATATCTTCTATCTAATGGGTTCGTAATCGTGTATTAAGTTTTTTTCTTATGTGCAAATATATGTAGTCCGGTAGCTTATTATAGAAGATATCAAACAATATTTTCAAATACTGTAGAGGCATGTACAAGTGAAACAAATCCAAGCCGATCCATTGGGATCAGCAAAAAAGAACGAAGCTCGTCGTGAGCTATAGAAGATTCGAATTTTAGCCAAAATTTGAGTTTACCACTCTAATAGAAGAAAATCACAAAGGAGGGTTTTTTCTGCAATCGTGAGGAAGGCTCACGCTCCGTCCTGATCCTGTTCAACTTTCACGCAAAAGTCATCAGAATGGGAAGTCTGGGCTGGACACCGATCCGTGTTCTGCAGGCCAAACAGGAGTTTGGCTGTGAGACCCTGAGCATCGACAAAGCCTTGATGGAGGCCATGACCGTCCCCAGCTTGGACCAGTACAAATCTGACACGGAAGCAGAGGACCAACCTATGGATGAGGAGGATCTTTTGGCTGCGCAAGGTCTCCAAATGGCTGTGTACCGGGAGCAGGAGCCAGGCCAAGAGGGCCATGACTCCGATTCGGACAGCTTGGCACGATCTCTTTGGGGGGCTTCATGGACGAAGGGCTTCCGCAGCATTTCGAGGGCTTCCGCAGGATTTCGCGAACATGGAAGAGGACTTCTGCGATCCCTCCGTCCGCACAGAGGTGAATGTTGAGTATAAGAACCTCGAGTCGGCAGAATTCATGTTGGTTGTGGCAGAACCTCTAGAAGAGGTGAATGAATTTCCGCAGTCTGATGCGCCCAACGTTTGCCGAACATTGCAGTACATGACATATAATATATATATATATGTATAGTTTGACGCGCTTGATCAATTTCTTCTTTCCAACCAGAACATGTTTGATCTTATTGCAGGGGGGGTCATCCAAACCTGCTGTGAGTCGGCAAATGTTCATGAGGTTTGGCCAATGGCAAGGACGCTACCCAGGCAAACCTGGGCTTGGCCGGAGTTTTGGGCAACAAATTCGCTCTGAGATGTCGGCCTTGCTGGAAGTGCTCCATGGCTTGTGGGAATATCACCTGGATGTCGAAGGAGGTGTTGGTGATGTCACCATTACAGCTTACGTTGAAGAGCTGGCCATCAGGATCACGACGCAGGTTTCATGAGATGGGCCCGAGAAGTTCCATCCAATGAGTGCTTTATTTTGTTGCACTCAGGATCATGCTTCATGAGTCTCCGTGTTTCACCTCGTAGTTTTTTAGGAGCAGGGTCTCCCATGAATGGCAGATCTTTTTGCGCGTATCCCATTCGTGCTTAACCGTCGACTCAAGAAACAAGAGCCTTGGTGTTTTATGGGATGGGAAACCCAGCGTTAGCAGATGCAGGCCATAATCCCTGCAGAAAGAGCAGGATTCAAGGCTATTAAGGGTTCGGCCTTTGACCGTCCAATTGGACCTTGTGGCAAAAGTGGTGCTCGAGTGCTGGTTTCTCTACTTTGAAGGTTCACTGCTATTAGGTTGCAGGCCATCGCCAGGAACCGCTAGTAGGTTGGAAGCTATCACTATTAGGTTGGAGGCCATCGCAACTAGATTGCTATTAGCTTGGAGGCCATCGCAAGTAGGTTGGATGCCATCGACTTGTTGCCGCAGGCGACCTTGCTGGCCACTGAGCTTATTTGTGGCGGCAGAAAAGGGCGACAACATTAATATCAATTGTTTTGTCATTTTCTTCTATTTGTTTAGGTGTTTGATGGTCTCTGCATACCCTGGTTCCTTTGTGACTTTCTTCTATTTAATGGGTAAACTCAAAATTTGGCTAAAACTCGAATCTTCTGTTTGGAAATATTGTTTGATATCTTCTATAATAAGCTACCCGACCGGACTATATATATATATAATATATGTTTGTTTTCTTCACCGGATGCCAAGGGATGCACAGTGGTTTCATCCAAGGCAGCATTGACTGCTCAGCGAGACCTTCAAACCCTTTCGACCTGCTTTGCAGCTCTGGGTAACATGAAATCCACAGAAATCAGTCACCGACAACCAGTTTTGGTCGTCAGTTGTTTGACCCATTGAAATCGGCAGCTTCGGCCTTGCAGCAAACAAACACTGCAAATCGCCAGTGTTTTCAACTGTCGCTGCATGCTTCTTTTCAATCCCATTCCTGACAGGTGGAAACCAGAACTCTATTTTCTGAGTTGAGCCAGCCTTAAATTTCACTTTGAGCTCTGCCGCCCCTTTGCCATTGAAGTCAAACCTGAAACTCTTGACAAAGTGCACCTTGAATGACCGATGTGATGTCAACGTGTAACTTGCAAAACATGGTAGTCCAAAACACAACCAACTCTGCCTGGCAAGGGATTGGCCTTCAAATCCTGCAAAACCTCAATGCCCACTACAAGATTCTTGAGGTCACCTGGCTCCTTAAGTTCAGAAACTTCAAATTCCTCACCAGTCATGTACCCAAGATGAAAACATGCAGAAACAATGTCCTGTTGTGGCGGTGCCCAAATCTGCTCCATTACTGATCCCATGGCTTGCCAGTGGCAGGTTCGCACATCGGACCAGTGATTTCCTATCAGCGCCAGGTCTGAGATAGAACTTCTTGTGTACTAAGTACATCTGACTGCACTAGGCTTCCACTCAATGCATAGAAAATGCAAGCGTCTCACCCAGATCGTTTTCCCCTGGGGCCGTGTCCGACACGAAAGCGGAATTTGAACTTTGTGCCCTCGGGCATGACCAAGCCAATAGCGCACCAGGAGTCTGGTTCCAAGCTTCCCAAATCCGTACGCATGCGGTTCTTTCTCGTGGCCTTTCCAAAGTAGCCATTAGGCCAGAACCTGCAAAGTGCAAAAGCCGGACAAGCGTTTGTTGTGGGAGTAAATCATTGGTGGTTCATGTGTATCAGCTCCGCAGTGCATTGTACGATGATGGAGCAGCTACAGTATGCACTGTAGGTTCTGCAAAATGCAAAAAAGATCAATCTTTGCAAAGAAAATCAACAAAGTGCATTGTTTCTCCCCACAGCAACTGCCTCATGGATGCTGTGTCTTCTCCTGGGATTTTCATTGGACGCGTTTGGCATTGCTACAGCGGGCTGATTCCAAACTTCCAGATTGCAACTGAGGTGTCAGCCAATTTGGAAATATGCAGAGGAGATGTACCTAGAGTTTCCACTCCCACTCCTCGTTTCCACTCCCGTCTGAACGCTTGACAAGCCAAGTAAGTTTCACCACAATTGTATGCTGTATGTATGCTTGATTTCCACATATTTTTGGCAAAGTGTATCTTGTTTCAGGCTCAACGATTAACCCCAAAGGAACTGCACACCCAAAGCCGAGTTGCTGTCCAGCGGGCACAAACAAATTCCAGTACTTCACTTGCAATGTCTTCAAATCAACCTTCAATCGACGAATGGTCCAGTCTGCGCGGTGGGATGGCTCCTCACTCAGTGGAGTTTGGGATGAAAGCTGGCATAAAGGCATACCGTAAAGGGCTAACAAAATTAGCTCAATGACCTACGGGGTTGCCACTGTAAACCCTTACGACATGACGAGCGCAGAATCGGTGAGGCAGTCCTTTAGCCCAAGCGCATTGACTTCACCATCTCGTGGCTTCACTGAGAAGACTCTTACACCACCTGACTCAGAAGTCAGTGCAAGAGAAAAGACACACAACTAAATACCGTGCAAAACAAGGTCAATAGACACATACAATTAATTTGAGTGAACGTGTCTCGATGTGTCTTTTCTGCCTGTCACAGGTGGGGGCGGTGGAGGGGCCACCAGGTCTAAGATTTCCTCCCAGTCTTCTGGGATCTTCTTGGCAGGGACGAACTTTCGGCCTATCAACAGCAGAATCGGTTGGAAAAACAGAGTTGCTATGGACAAATTGAAAAAGGGAAGCAACAAGTGACACATGCTTCCTTTTCTAAACGTGCGACAAATCTCCTTTGTCTTGGCCTCGAATTGACTTGGGAAAGCGTCTTGGTCGAGGAGATGCAGCTCGGTCAACTTGTACATGGGTAGAATCTGGGCTATCACGTTTCTCCTGCCACTTTGCATGACCAGAATGATGAAAAGAGCTGATATTCAAACATATTGGAGTAGCATATTGATGTGTATAATTGCCTGGAGCTCAAATAGACATAAATAGACCAAACGCTGCATTCAGAAATCAACTAGACACTATCACTATCCTGGAGCATTGTATAGCTTTAACTTGATGCAAACCAACCATTGCCGTCATTTGATGTCGGAATCTGCAAACATGAATGTATTTGTGCATAGGCACAACCCTAGTTAGCGTGCCTCTTGCGTTTGAAAACAGCACCTTGTGACCCTATGGTCTGTTGATTAAAGCAAATGACATGCAGGTTCAAATTAACAAACTTCCTGGTGAGTTCAGAGTACTAACCATCTTCTTGTCATGATTGAACTTTGCACAAACACAAATTACTGTTAGTAGCAAGTGCATCCAGAACGCTTTCTCTAAAAGTCTAAAAGTCTAAAGCACGAAGAGAACAAAAAAAACCGAGTTCTTGTGCAATTGCTTCAACCAATATTCGATGCCACGACGTTGGTCCCTGGATGGAGAGCGGGCTGCATCTGCCATCACATTGCGAATCGGCCATTTGAATTCCTGGCTTGGGCCTGAACACGTCACACCGCCTGTGGCCAATCCACCGTGATTATATAGACATGTTTCTTGAGTTTTGTCATGCCCAATTCACCTTTGTCTCTTCTGGTCTTACACCCTCACCGGTAATCTCTTCCTTTTATTTCAATGCTCGCGGAAAAGTCGGGTGCAACCATTCAGTTTCACGTCAATGCCAACCTGAACAGCGCAAGGGAAGAAATCACGCAAACTTGCAGCAAATTTTGCTTGAGCCCTATACGCGCTATTTCAACAAACATGTTTCCAAGTCTGGTGAACGTCTCAACATTGGTGGTCTTTAAGCCCGGCACTTCGCGCAAACTAAACCACAGGCAAGCCACCTTGAACACCAGTGATTGTCCAAGTTCATGTCACTGCAACTGCAAAAACATAGAGCTGTGGCAGAAGTGCGTGAAAACAACCTCTGGCTTCCATGACGCTGCGTCTTCCAAGGAACATTGATGGCGATGATCGGAATGCCAAGTTCCTGCTCCAATCTTTCAGCCAGCGGAACCTCGAAGTAGCTAATGAACATGCAATAATACATAGTTTCTTGTTTGTCCCAGGCACAAAGGAGAGATTGGTACCACATTGGACAATGGCATCCTTGGACAGCTTTTTTTGCAGTTCTGCATTTCAGAAAACATTTTGCAGAAACATCAAACTCCCCGCCAAGACTCGACGCCAGGAACACAAAGGTTTTCTCGGACGACCTTTTCGCACCAAGCCTCGGGCCTCGACTTCCACGCAAAATATTTCAAAACGAACATCACATCTAACTTGTACATACTTACTCACATACTCACTCACTCACTCATTGATTCGCTTGCTTACTTGGCTATTTGCTTGCTAACAAACAAACAAACTAACTAACAAACCTTATCTTAATTTGACTTACCTCAACTTACTTGCTTACTTACTTTACTTTACTTTTCTTAGCGACCTTACCTTACCTTACCTGACCTTTCCGGACGCACAGTTCCAAGAGAAAATGATCTTTCCATATCGCGCCCTTAAGACGCCAGACCTTTGAGGTGGACCAAGCAAACCTGCGCATCCCTAAAGATGGAACATCATCGGCAACAAAGGGCAGTCACCCAAATCTGGAGCAAACGCAAGCCAAAGAAGGTGAAACGGCCCTCAGGAAGCATGCTTGGTTCAAGGGCAATGTATGCAAGAGGGCAGGGGACATCACATAATCGTGTCATTGGCTAAGCTTCTGGGGAGAACGATGGAGAATGTGCATATGCCCCGGTTTTTTGTGGGGCGGGAGGGGCTTGCAATGCCACAGACCTACCCCAGGAAAATCAAGCAACCCTAATGCAAAGTTGTATGAATCCATGGGGTCGAACAATCTTTTCAAAAATTTAGCTGATTTTATTGATAATGTATGAAAGCAAGGGGAAACTGCCCTGAGGAAGCATACTTGTTTAGGGAAATGTATGATAGGGATCCATAATCGTCATATCACGCGACGTCCAACTTCCAATTCCCCAAAAGTATAAACCACTGTGCCGGGAACGAGATGGAGACTCATGGAGACTGGGAAATGTATATTTCTTGAGCAGGTATGCGCCCCAAAACGACTATGGGGCCCGATGAAGATGGACACTACTGGTATACTCTTGTTGGAACACCAGGCCACGCGGCCGACTTTGACCCTCGGGGTTCTACTTCACCTGTGCTTTTTGAGACTCCCGCCGAGAGGCGAAGGTGACATCGGAAAATGACATGAAGTTATTGTTGGTGGGAATGGCGGTCGATCAGCGATCACCAGGTCTCCTACTTTGGCATTGGAAGTTTTCGCTGGCGACAGACTCAGGCGACGAGAAAGATCAGGTCGAGTGCATGTTGGTGGCTCCATATCGCAAGCTGCCAGCCAACCCTCTTATAAAGAGGTTGAACCTCCTGATCGGACGCCTGGTGCTGTTCGATCTTTCCGTCGATCATGGGGGCGTCCTTGACGTATTCTCACGTTTGAGTCAAGAACCCCAGTGAACGCAGAGGAATTCGACCGTTTACAATGACTTGTCCTCTGGCGCATTGGAGCAAAAAGATCATCGATCGAGCAGAGATACCGCAAAGCCTTCACACGTCGGTTCTTCTTTGCGTCCTAGACTAAACTGAATTAGGGCTTACTCCTGAGATATGTCCGTCCTACTTGTCACTGACGGCCTCGAAACAATGCAGTCGACACGTCGAACCCCTATAGAGAAGACCTGCAAAGCTAACGCCCTAGAATCCTTTCATATCCTTTCCTGAAGTGTGGTGAGTCAAACACCCCGGCCCGGGCACGTCAAAAGAATACAGCCCCATATGTTTTCGATCGCCAGCGCCAATGTGGATTTGTCACAAACTATTCGCAGTTAGTTACGGCCCTCGACGCAACGATCTGGGCCACACCGTTCTCTAATGAGACACGGTCCAGACGCGACGCCCCATTTTCAAATCGTCATCCCGCTGGCGGAAACCACCACGCATCCTGCCAGACAAGGGTGTCAGAACGGGCTAGTATGTTTGGCGACAATGGCCCGAATGATGCGTCGGGCTTTCTTGGCCATGGTTAAGGTGAGGGATGAGGCTGGCTCAGGGTCTTGAGATCTGCGGTTAATATACACCATTAAGAAATGACTGGGTAATGCACTGGCAGGAAGCCGGCATTGATGAGGCTCGGACAGCAAGTTCGAGTTTTGTTGACTGAGTGAAACGCAGACGGGCGCCGGAACACATAGGCAACTCATGCGCAGGTGAAAGCTGCAGCCTCCGTTCAGCAGTCTGCAGAACCTGGACGCGCGTCGGCGCCATCATCAAAACAGCCCAACCCAACCCAAATCAATTCCGGGCTGTGGAAGGATTTGAACAGCAACTATTGCGGCCCCGACCCGTCTGACCAAGACAGCGAAAGTTCCAATCCTAAGCCCACTATGGGGTATGCTTCGGGGTATGCTTCGCGCAGTGCGAAGACTAAAGTAGTAGCGTTTTCAGAAGGTATGCTTCGAGGTATGCTTCGCCTAAGTCGAACATCCCAGCCCTATACATTTACTGGACTCGACGCGTTTAAAAGAAAGACAGCCCATATGTGGCGCCCAACTCAGCCCAACTTGCGGCGTAGGTCATAAATACTGACATGCAAATTGGAAAGGTTGCGAGCGCGGCGCAAATTCTGCAAGCGCTAATTAAAATAAGCAGCTGCTGATGGGTGCCTTGTACGAGTGCTGGACAAAGTGCAAGGTGGAGCAAGTAAGACAAGTCCCAGCTTCTCGGTGTTGAGATAACTCCAACAAATCCCATCCCAGCGCAATGGCAAACACTTGTAGACCATACTTGACCAAGCGTTCCTTAAAACATCCTGGATTGCAAGACTCATGAACTCTCTGCAGCCGTTTTGTGCCCAAGCCAGAGATGCCCTGTTTGATCCTTTCTGATCTTGAGCTGAGAAGAGTGCTGCTGGATTGGATCGTCTTCTGAATGTGGTCGCAAGCGGCTTTCAAAGGAGTCCCTACAGTTTCTGGGTGCACAGCTGTCAACAGCTGATGTCTGGTTCCACACAGCGTGTGATTATCCCGTTGCCTCATCGAGGGGCCCTGTGATCCACATCACCGGAGCATCAAGCTGCATTTCTGCCTCCAGCGGCTGAGGCCCTTGTGAAGGCGGCCGTCAGGTGAAGTTCGGTGAGCGGCGCCATGTGGGTGAACATTCCGTGGATTGAGCCAGCGCTCCACTACCACTGCGGTGACAGTGGCAGCTTGCGTCGGGCTCAAGATCCTTTTCCTAAGGGCGATGCTCGTGAGCCGGCTTGAGCCAACAGCTCAAATGAGGTCTTTTTGAGCAAGGTGGACGACATGCCTGATAGCAGTGAATTAGCCGACACGTCGGTGAGCACCCTCAATCAAACCAGCCTCAACCCTTACCGTAAGAACCCCTAATTAGTGTGACCACACTGTTTGGCTTGAAAACATAAGCGCAACGAAAAGAAGGTCACTGGGAGTTGGGCACATGGGCAATGTCGGTAGCCTTGGCACTGTCGGAGACTCTCGATCATCCTTTCAACTTTCATCTAAGCTTCATCAAAATCCTTGTGCTACTAAACTCAATTGACCATAGTTAAGAACATTGTGTTTTCCTTTGAGCAGGCTCCACCTTGTTTAGACATTGTCTAGGCCCTTGAAAACCACAATCTACTAGGCTGGTCTGGGCCAATCCCTTCGTAGAGTTTTCAAGTACCGTTTCCCTGTCTCACTCGGACCTCATTTAATTGCTATCTCATAAAGGCACCTTGAGTTCTCAAAGACCTAGAATTACTGGCTTCATAGGAAGACTGAATCAATTGGTCCGTTATGTTTCTGTCCAGATGGATCGTCTGAAATTTATCCTGATCCAATCATACGTCGAGGCTCAGATCCACATTTCAGGCCGGCAATGCGCAAGACTTCAAAGCCAATCTCAGAGAAAAACTTCACGACGTTCCGATCGCCTGATTTGGGCACATCTTCTCGCATCATGTCGCAATTTTTTCTTGCCCATGCATTGCTTGCCTATTTCCTGGTATGGTGTCAGGACCTGAGGAGACAGGGATGCAATGAGCACTCCACCACACTCCTGAGGATAAGGATGAGACAGTAATGCGCTTCGCGCCAAACTTTTTGAGCGATGCCTGGGCAAGAACAAAATTGGCGAATTCAGCAACGACGCACAGCTGGCAGCATTTAGAACTAGGCTTGCTGAATGAGTTGGAATCCACAGGCAGGTGTTGTGAAAGATTCCACACAAAGGCAAAACCCGTCTGATTCCTTAGCCAAAGCCTTGCAGGCTTCTGCTCCGGTTGCAATGTTGAGCCCAGTTCGAACAGACAATTCCTCTTTGAGCTCCTGCCAGGTTTGACAGTCTTGTGCTGACAGGACAACCAACAGGTCAAGGCAAGCATGTGCATGTGAACTCTTAATCCACATCGTGAATCATAACTACATCCTTGTTTCCTTCCCAACCACCAAAGAAGGTCTCCAACGACATGCCTTGGACTTGGACAAATGACAAGAGGCATACTGAGACCGAGGGGACGATCAAATGCATTACTCGAGGGCAGGACCCATTATGATGTATTGAGGCTCCGCAGTCATGAGCCGGTCAACTGTTGTGAAGAGCTGCTTACGAAACCTTGAGGGACACCGGCGCAAAAAAAAACGCAATCATCGACAATCATACATACGAACACAATTCTATATGCGCACCAATTTCAATTCCAGTACACAGGGGTCGACATGTGCAAAGGATGTGAACAAACTTGAACATAAGCGCGACTTAAACCATGACACATGGCCAGAAAGTTCAACATATCCTCATCAGTGGCCAACTTTGGGCTGTCAATGAGAATGCCGGAGGTGTGAAAACCAATTCCCTGCAGCAGAAAGTCTGTTCAAACCTCCCGAATAGTGAAGCTGTTGACAATCAACCAGGGCCTTGCAAGCTTCACGATTGAGCATCACCATGTTCCAAAAGTCATACTCAACAGTCGTATTTGTTGAAGGTATGATAACCTCAGTACATGTACGACAGCGTGCGCAAAACCAGTTTGTCTGTCCCTACAACTATCCTTTGCAGTTTCTTCAAACCTGTTGTGTATGTTCACTTTTTGTTTATCGAAGCAGGGCTAGGAGCCCCAAATTTCATTCTGAACTCGTTCTGATCCGGATAACCATCTTGGATATCAAAACTTTGTACTGATGCTGGCAAAGCTTGGCCATCCTGGCAAAGCAAAGCTTGGCCACCCCATGTCATTTCAATCAATTGAACAAGTGCCACTTCTCGAAACAAACACACGCACACACACACACACACTCGAGATAGTGTGTACGGAACTGAATGCCACATGCCACACGCCCACCCAGGTATGAAAGCCTAAGAGTTCCAGGAAAAGTGATGAGTCCCAAAGATCTCAAAGTTCACAATTGCACAAGTTCGAAAGAGCTCCAAAATCACAAAGTTCTCGAGCGAGCGTGAAAAAGGAAACGAGAGTCGACGGGTGCACATCTGCAGACCTGGATCATCCTGCAACAGCCTGAGGACCTCCACGATTGGAGAATGGCTAAAAACATTCACAAACTGCAGGTGCAGGAAGGTGATCAGCCTTCCCTTCCCATCCATGACCGTAGCTTCGTTGCACACGGTGGGTGATGGATGCCGTGTGCCCCTGCCCATTAGTAAACAAATCAACGGATTCCCTGCGAAGGTTTCACACACACGCCTCCCACGAGGTCGGTGTTGCGCGTGCGCGTGTGAAGGGACAAGAGGACGAAGACATGAGAAGGGACACTGCGGGACAAAGATGTATGCGGTTGCGATGAAGGGAAACCAAATGATCAGGGACAAACAATGAAACCCCGCCTCATTGTCAAGACTTGGGCGACCTGAGACCTGGGTTTGAAGTAGTTGTGCGCGTGCAAGCTAAGGGCCGGGTCAATGTGCACGCAAGAGAAAGAACGGAGTGAGATGACAGGAAATGAAGCCGGGAAAGACATGAAACGAAAGAAAAAAAGAAAGTGGGTGTGAAGAGTGGATGAAAAGGGAACCAAATGGAGAGGCCGTAAGCCGACGAAGCCAAACCTCATTTGAAGCGACCTAGGTAGACCTAGCCTAGTTTGGAGTGTGCGCGCTGTGTGTCCATTTTGGCTGCGGCTGACCCCAGTGCGTCAAAAAGCTCTCTGACCGAGTCCGCTGTGGACACGTTCTGGCATGCCCGAAGGCTGACTCAGATCCAATAATCCGTCAAGTCTTGGCAAATAACTTTCTTAAGCCTCCTACACTGTCCGCTCCGGACACTCGAGATATTGCGCGTGGGCCTGAATTAACTGAATGCCACATGCCACACGCCCACCCAGGTATGAACGCCTAAGAGTTCCAGGAAAAGGTATGAGTCCCAAAGATCTCAAAGCTTACCATTTCACAGACAAGTTCCAAAGAGCTCCAAGTTCACAAGTTCTCGAGCGAGCGTGAGAAAGGAAACGGGAGTCGACGGGTGCACATCTGCAGACCTGTATCATCCTGCAGCAGCCTGAGGACCTCTACGATTGGAGAATGGCTAAAACATTCACAAACTGCAGGTGCAGGAAGGTGATCAGCTTTCCCTTCCCATCCATGACCGTAGCTTCATTGCACACGGTGGGTCATGGATGCCTTGTGGTTGCGCTCATCAGTAAAGAAATCAACGGCTTCCCTGTGATTCCAAGTTTAGAGCGCTGCCTGATAAATACCTGAGAAACGGCCCTGTGAGGGAACGGAAAGGTGGCAGGGTCAGAAACAATATTGTTTACATCATCCATAAGATGTTGCAGGTACATGGTTGGGCGTCCTCAACCACTTCCCTTCCAGTGACACAGCTTCGTTGGATCAGGTTAGTCACTGGAAGCCTGATAAGTGGCAGGGAGGAGCAGGAGAAGGAGGGAAAACCCGGAAAGAGAAAGAAAGGGAAAAGCGGGGGAAGGAGGGAAGGTGAGGGGCATGACATGTATAGAGGTCTTCAGCGCCTGTTTTTTGTTGATGCGCACGATGACAAAGGTGAAGGTCATGTCCTTTTTAGACATACAGGTCAGCTAGTTGAGCAAGCGCTCGCTCAATTTCCGAGGTCGGGTCGGTGTACTTGTGGATGAGGTGTGCTCTGGAGTTGAGTCCGGACAATCGTAATCTCTGAGAACCGGCTGACGCATGGTCTCGAATCTTCCAAGCTGCATTGGGTGGGATGTACGTGATGACGGTGCGCTGGATGAGGTCCACGTCGAATCCCAGGAGATGCATCGTCCACAGGTTCTAACTCCACTGGGTTGCCGAAGAAGTCAGGATGAATCAGTGTCTGGATGGCAACGTGAGTGAGAAAGCCCTGGTTGAAGGCGATAAAGCGGTTGTCCACATACCGGTAGTAGGTGAAGTAGATCTGGGCGTGGTCCGTGAGGGAGCGGTGTAGTTGATGCCACCAGTGCTCGATGAGGGTGATAGCGACATTGCACAGCGTGGGATCCAATCCCGGCCCCCCGTACCTGTTGAAAATAGGTGGTACACGCTCGGAAAACGCAAGTGTCAAGTGCTAGTGCCACAATGGTAGTAATGTCGTTAGTGTTGATGGTGCGTTGAGTGGGGTGGCGTCGGTAGTGCTGGCCAATGGGGGAAAGCTGGAGGGGATCGCCAGTGGCATGGATATCAACGGTGATGGTGGGAGGGTCAAAGGTAAGTTGCCATTTGGTAACAAGGCTCTGGACTGCATCAAAGTCGACCTCCTGAGGTACTGAATTGAAGAAACCTACCAGGTCATCGTTGATGGCATGTAGTTGAATATGGTCGGGTGTGTGGTGGAGGTAGTCGTGGAAATGGTGCCCTAGCTGGGGGATGGAGAGTTAGCCGGGTGCTTGGAATAGAAGGCGTAAAATCATAGTATTGCGGACCATGGAGGTGGCTCTGAGTAAGGTGCCACAGTGGGATTGAAAGTAGGAAAAAGCCGTGCGGCCCTTGGTCCTTTGCTTCTTGGCTTTCAAGTGCACCACGCCATAAGGTATAGTGAATTTGGCACGGAATCCCCATTTGTATTTCTGGCGAAAATGATCTGGGAAAGTTTGTTGAGTGACGTGGCGGATGGTGTCCTCAGTGTCGTGTGGTAGTGGTCGAAAGAGTTCAGGTGACTGCCACGTAGCCAGGCATCCACGGAAGTAGATCCGGGGACAAAATATGCGGAGATGTTGAAGTTCATGGTCTGCGTGATGAAGAACGACCTTGTCACCCAGGAATTGTTGTAATTGCTTGACAGAATGGGCAGTGAATCTGGCCTCATAGTGTAAGTGGTGAAGATGCTGTTTCCATTGTTCTGTGAGAAGCTCTCTGCGTAGGTGGCAAGAGTGTTGGGGAGTCCATGGTGCTTGAGCCATCGGGCGATGGCTTTGTGGAAGGTGTCAAAGTATTGGTGTTTGGTGCGGAAGAAAGTGCTGTTCATGTTGGCGTTCAGGAACCGCCGTAGGTGTGGTGGCAGTTGTAGATCCTCAGTGTGACAATGAGGTGCTCGTCACTGGGGATGGTGTGGTCGGGTTCGAGAAGATTGTGTAAATGTGTACATCCGCAAGGGGAGTTGGTCGTGATGCGGTGGTGCTCGAAGTGCGTCTTCCCATCTTCGGTGATTATGCAGGCGGCTGCGTGAGGTGTCATCAGCGGCTTCACGTAGCCTGCAAGTAGGTAGATGAAGAGGGATCGCATAATGCTTGTGTTGTTGTAGCAGCTCGGCTAGCCATCGTTGTGTGTTGGCTTGGAAATCAGAATGGGCAAGAAAGGGAATGGTCAGTGGAAGGTTGCTCTTGGGCGGTGTCAGGTTGCGGTATTTCAGTGCTTCATTGAGGAGATGTCGTATGGCGTGCACCTCAAGGTCTGTGTCTTTCCTGAACGTAAGTGGCGGGTTCATCGGGCGCACGCCATAGGTCATCGTTAGGATCATAGTCCGGAAGGATACGGACTCCTCGAGCAGCCCATGTATGGTGTGTGTGTGTGTGTGCTGATTGTGTTGCCTGTTGCCCAGTAAGATGTGTCACCTGTTGAACTTGAGTGTGGGTGTATGTGGCTTGAGTGTGTTGCTGGGTGCTGGATGAATGCTGGTGGTGTGTGTGAAAGTGGTGTGTGGCGAGCGCATCCAGTGAGGGGGCGCTCCGGCCCTCGAGGGGCGGCGCTCGGCAACTGATGGCTGGGGCATAGTACCCGGAAGGGTGCATAATGTGGTGCTTGGAGGCATCAAGGGTGGTGAGGGGCCAGGTGGTGCAGGAGGTCCTAGAGCCAGGGATAATGGAGGGGCCACGCGCTGGTTGTCGCGCCACAGGCATGTGGATGGTCTTGGTTTTTGGCGTCAGACCAGGAACGTTTGAGACCTGGTAGGGTCGGTAGGTGTGGAGGTCAGTAGGGGGTGGTTGCTTGTTAGGTGCGCTGGAAAGTACCGTGCCTGATGGCTGTGTGGACATGTCAGCGGGTAGTGGTGTAGATGGTGGGTCAATGGATGCAGTTGGCGGATGGTTGGCGGGTGATGGACGGAGAGGTGGCTGATCTGGAAGGGCAACAGTGGTAGTGGACGGATTGGCAGGTGTGGTATCCGGCGGGTTGTCGGCCTGATGTGGGGTAAGATTGGTTTGCCCCGGATCCTGGGTACTTCTTGCGGTGGTAATGACTGGGGTGGGTATGATGATGGGGGAGCTTGTTGTGGGTGGTGGTGAGGCCGGGCCAATAGTCGGCTGTGGTGGAGTGGAACGGGTCATCATGGTGGATTGCATCGATGGTGCCCAAGCTGGCAGAAGACATACTTCTGGTGGCATCATCGGTCATGCAGGATGAGAGCCAAACGTAGGTGTCATCGAGGGAGCCACCGGTGAAAAAGATGATGCCTGAACTGGATAAGGGTGAGACGTCATGTATGGCTGTGGCATCGATGCAAAATGCGGTTGATGTGGTAGAGCATGATAATGAAGAGGTGGTACAGGACCATAGGATGCCGTAGGGGCCGACAAAGAGTGAGGCTGAGCGGTCCACGGGTAGTTCATGGCGTCCCACTGGTAGACTGGTAGACACAACGACGGAGAATGGTGAAAGCCCGACAAAAGAAAAAGAAAACACTCTCACGCATTTTCCGACCTCTTGTTTACTGCGTCGACGAAGTTTCATGCTGCGTTCGCGGATATGAAGTGCCAATGATCAATCTGTAGTTCGATCTCAGTAGGCCCTGCGGCATTCGATCAGCAATCTCAAGCAAAAAACGACAGAATCTGTGAGAGTCAGAGAGAAGGTCACATGAGAGAAGAAGCGGAAGTCAGTGGAGTCCCCCAGAAATTGGGTCTATGCACATGCTGCGCCCCTCGATGGGGATCACACCACAGTGGGACTCTGTGGCGGCACACACTTAGATGGATGCTCGCAAGAGCTGATTCAGTGAAGGTAGTCCACTCTAGTGATTACAATACCGGTTTAGAGCGCTGCCTGATACCTGAGAAACAGCCCTGTGAGGGAACGGAAAGGTGGCAGGGTCAGAAACAATATTGTTTACATCATCCATAAGATGTTGCAGGTACACGGTTGAGCGTCCTCAACAACTTCCCTTCCAGTGACCCAGCTTTGTTGGATCAGGTTAGTCACTGGAAGCCTGATCCCCCTGCATATGATGTACGGTCCACCCAAGGTGAATTAAGGTGTGCAACATCCTTGGACACAGGTGCGGACACACACACACAAGAACACAAGAGTTTGACCACTGGATCAACTATTTTTCAGAGCTAGCAGGAATAGAATTAATAATTGTTTGAGAGGGCACGAGGAATAGACGAGAGCCAGCACACAGTTCTCAAAAAGAAACATAACAAAAAGGTCACACCGCATACCTACTTACTCAGGTCACATGTCTTCTCTTTCAGTCTCCAGTCCTCCCACTTGGTCGGAAAAACACTTTTGGGATATCCAGAATCCACATCGGGAATCCGCACGATCTCTCCGGTGAGGCTTCCTCTGTGACTTCTCCATCTGTTCCTAAAGGAAATCCGCAATTGAAAAGGACAACCTGTTGCAAACTGTGCTTGACTTGATGACTTATTCTCTCGACGGGTTGCCCGTTTCAGCCTTCTTTCAACCTCTTGTCTGACGCCACCCCCCGCCTGTCAGTGGAGCTTTAAAAGGCCAAGGTGCGCTGCAAGAACTCCGTTCGTGTACTCCTTTTCGGCGCTGGTAAAGTCAGCGCGAATGGCAGTACTGTCGGTATTGCTGGGCGCAGATGGAGCGAAATCTCGTTGTCCTCTTTCAAAATCGGTTATGCCATCGACACGTACGTTCTCCAGTCTCGCGCGCTTATTTTGCTCCATTAGAATCAAAAGGCTCCGCGACCCGAAAGTTGTTTCCTTCTGTTCCTGATGCTTGACACAAGTGAGATTTTCGAGATTTCATGGTACGGACCTGTAGCGAGGAAAAATCACACCTAAATGAATCGAAAGCTTGAGATGTTTAAAGACTTTGTAAACTGAAATCTTTGGCATGTACTTAAGGTTTTTGAATGTTGAATAGTAGTTCCCGGCGCGTAGGGCTGGCATAGTAGTTAGTAGTTCCTGGAGCTGAAGACTTGCGCCAATGGATTGGGTTGATTTTTATCCGTGAGACATGGGACGTTCTCCACATGGACCAAAATGGTCCATTTCGCATTTCACAGGTCCAGCAAATACAAGCTGAGTGAGGACACTCCACTTTTTTCATGCAATGCTGCTGCCAAAGCTGACAAGGACCCCTTGGGTCGCACAGGCCTTGGTACGGTGCTGCAGCTGTGATATAGACCTGTTATATTATTCGACACAAATGATCTCATATCACAATGGATACAGTTGCAAAAATAACACCTAGCTTTAGGCCGCGTGTTGCTCTCCTTTGGCCTGGTGCAGCTTCATGTTTTGAACGGCAGCCGGAACAAACAACTGCACCAAATAGCGCTTGAACATGCTTGAACGTGCAACTTTTATCTGCTTTTACAACTCAAATCAGATGCAATCGCCAGTACAAAGTGAAGGCTATCGGAGATCTGTTTTGCAAGGGAAGTGCAATCTGAGATGGAAGAAACAACATCGATAACACTTGCAATGTTAATTTCAGTTTGCTGCAGCTTGCTGTTTCCACTGCTCATGGCGTTTAGTTAGTTGGGTGGTTCAAGTCAGAAACTTGAAGCACTTCAACCACTTAGAACTTGTCATGACGAGTGGGGTGATGCAGAAACTCGTGTAACATCAAGTTGCTTCCCGATGCTATTCACCAGTTGAGGAAAATCAGAACACCGATTAGCGTGTCCCTTTTCACCACTTCTGGGTGGAAGGTCCGACTGCATTTAATTTTGGGACTTGCAAAGGCAAAAAGGTGGACAGGTCATGACCCACGACGCATTGCCCCTCCCGTTTCCATGCCCTTTGGGCGGGAATGTAATGGAGAGTAGTTTCAAAAAGTGATGGGGCCAAGGGTGGTTCAGTCTTGCATAGTCTTGCCATCAACTAACCGCAAATTCTTCCTACGAACATTGCCATTGCCCATTGCCCGTTCTCCACAAACAAGATGGCACCCACGAACCCGAATGCAAACCCGTACTCGAAACAAACGCCCAAACATTTTTTGACACTCTTGTAGGTAGGAGACTTTCTTGTAGAACGCTCTTGTGGGATATTCTTGCGCGACACTTTCGTCACTCTGTGGGACACTTTGCTTCCCACATGACATTTGTGCTACAAATTGCCACTTCTAAGGGACACTCTTGCGGGACACTCTTGTATGACTATGACACTCTCGTGAGACGTTCTTGTAAGACACTCTTGTCGGGCACCTTGTCGGACATTCTTGCAGGACACTGTTGTGGGACGCGTCTATAGGACACTCTGGTGGGAACCCTTGTGGGGCACTCTTGTCGGACACTCTCCTGGGACACTCTTGTAGGACACTCTTGTGGGACTCTCTTGTGAAACACTCTAGTGGGACACTCTTGCAGGATGCTCTGTTGGACACCCTCGCAGGACGCTCTTGTGGGACACTCTTGTAGGACACTCTCGTCGGACACTTTTGTGGGACACTCTTGGGAGGCACTCTTGTAGGACACTCTTGTGGGACACTCTTGTAGGACACTCTCGTCGGACACTTTTGTGGGACACTCTTGGGAGGCACTCTTGTAGGACACTCTTGTCCGAGCCTCTTGCAGAACACTCTTGTGGGTCACTCTATTGGGGCGCAACCGTATGGCATTCTT